AGCCGCCTAAAGCAGGTCGAGTAGGCCGTTGAGGTGGTGGATGTGGTAACAGACAGCGGTCGTCGATGCCAACAGTCGTCGATGATGGTGAGTGTGATGATGCCCGTCGAAGCAATGGGGCAATTGGAGATTCCCAGAGCATCCTTTTGTACATCACGACAATCTCCTGCCTTCATCTCATGTAGGGGGAGGGGGGTCGCATCTTTTGGTTCTGGCCCTGTGGTGACTTTCCAGCAAGGAGCCAGCAGAGACAAGCGAATTCCGGGGCCGAGATCACAACTACTGCTCTTCGTCATCCACCTTGCTGCGGATGTCTATGAAGGCGTCCCGGGGGCATTTCAGCGTGGAATGCAATGCTGACTCCTTATACGGCGAGCGACCCGGAACATCAGCTGCCTCGGGGTCAAAGGCAGGAACCAACGAGAGCCTCCATCGTCGTCTCCACCTGGATTAAGGTCGTGTAGTGGCTCCTTCCCGTATACTTACCACTATTGCCGGTGTGCTGCAACCAGTTACACACAGCCAGGCCTGCCAAGCAAAGCCCCCCGGGGGTGATGAGGGTGGGGACAGGCATCTTTCTAGACGTTTGACCATTTGAATTCACTGCGTCGGACATTAAGCCCTAACCTAACATACATCTAGCAATGCCTTACGCAGGTACATCCACATCCATGCGATAGGCTGGGAGGGGGCTGCTCACGCCTGCTGCTACCACCGAGGTGTCCAGTAGTTTGGGAAGGATGATCTGGTTACACTGGCCCTGCCCCAATAGTCCGCACAGGGTGTACCTGCCTCTGATGCAGCAAGCTCCGAAGGAGGGTAGGAAGGGGGGGACGGGGAAAAAAAAACCACAGAAGCCATGCCATGCCCACCGTTCAGTCCAGCTGTCTATGGTCTAGCAAGCTGTCCAACCAAAACTCGCCACCAGCCCTACTAGGCCGCGAGCCCTACCTACCGTCATCCACCGGCCGCTAAGGTAGACAGGAATGTAGCCCATCAGGACGAGAGGGCGCGGGCAGCAGAAAACCCAAGCAAACGCTCATTATCCGGGCCACACATGTGAGGCTGGGGAGGCTGCCGTTCAGCTATTTCGAGGCCGGCTGTCTTTTACCCAGTAGGGCAATGTGTGGATCTTAGCGCCATCTTTGCCATGCAAGGACCGTACCATCGGGGCCAATGAGCTGTCCAGCAGCCCACGGCCCCATCCAGATCAAAACGGGCAGCGCAGCTGAATCGATTCGTCCTTCAGACCGTCTTGACCATGCCATTGGCTGCGTGTCAAACGAACGGCTTTTATTGAGGGGGTCCGCATCGACACCGCACCACCCGGAGTTTATTGAATACTGGGCCCGGCTCCTTCGCTAGCTACTATCTGTCCATGTGTAGGTAGCGCAGTGGGCACCGTGAGTCTCTGTGCGAAGGGGATTTGGCACAGCATGATGTGATCTTCTTCGACGCCATCTCTCTGCCACCCCACCCCGGCAGGCCTCTCAAGCCCTCGCAGGGCCCTCTCAAGCCTCTCAACAGATTCAGAATGTCCACTCGACCGGCTAGTAGTCAAGCCACTCCCCCTGCGTCGTCACTCACTTTCTCTCTCTCTCGGCCGACGCCGTAGCCACAGTGTCATAGTTGCAACCCACACCTGCTTTTCAGCCCAATAACTGCCTGCCTTCACACAAACCATACCAAGGCGGTGCCCCCGCTTGACGCACATCAACATCGTGGAAAAGCCACTGGAAACACCGGTGCCTGCAAGGACATGTCTCCATATTAATCACATTGTGCTTGGTTCTACGCTAGCTATCCAGGCACGCGGATTGGCCTTCCATCAAAAGAAAAGGCCGTCGTATCACTTCTACGTTATTTCCCTTCCCCATTCCCCCATTTGCGTACGTCAATGGTTTCCCACGAGGGTTCCACCGGCTCTATATCTAATATTACTGCCATCAAGGGGACGATGGCATGGAGGAAGAAAATTTAGAGTATGGGTCGGTTAGTCGGGCCTGGTTGATCTTCGATTTCAACCAGACAGCAACCCAACGTTACACTTCAAGGGGGCCTCCCCAGTAGGAGAGGCGCCAATCCCTCCCAGACAGACCAAATTGGGCATGTCGTTACGGATTCGGCTGAGATCTCTCATCCCCCCCCTACTTGATTGGACCCAAACCCCATTCGCAGTGGTCATCAATCATGTCGGATTCCCCATTGGGAACCCAAGATTGACGATATCGATCGCCCGAATTACTTTTTCTGACTGCGCCGCTGTGTCCTCAGCGTTGTATTTAGCGGAGACCTCCAGGCGACACTGGCCCGGCTGATACCATGCCACTGTAGCATTCGGGAGCCACGGTTTACCAGGGTCACCACCATGGTTCATCGACAGCATCACAACTTTAAGAAGGCTGCCTGGTCTGTGTCAGCCCAGCCGCAACCCAGCTGATTACAGGGCCATCTCAGCGCCCTCGTGGCATTGGATCTCCCAAGTAGCTGCATATACATATATGCGACCCACCTTAGACTACATCCATCTGCCAGGCTCAACAAACCCTTTCCCTGACTAAGGGAGCTGTCAATCCCGACCGTGGAGCCTGCCTCGTCACCAGCATTGTGGCTTTACCAGGGCCTGTGGGTTGATTGGGTACCGCGCCATATGCATCGGAGATCTCCAAAGCCCATGCATTGCAATAATTGGTATTGATTGTCTGATTTGTAATAAGATAAGACACGGGAGCGGGAAGCCCACTGCCATTCACGCCCACGTCCAGCTGGCTACTCGGTCGCACAAGCCTTCTATGTCTCTCAACAAGGGTAAGAGAGTGTGGCTAGATGGATGGAGTGTGTATAGTTATGTGCCTGTGTGAGAGTGTGTGTGTGCCCCCCGCGAATATGTACGTCCGTATACGTCAGGGTCCATCCATGAATATCATCGAGTCAATTACCATTCATTCGCCAGTATCAAGCGGCCGCTCTGTTTAATCCTTCTCTGCGATCGCTTGTAACCTCTCGTCGATCTCCTCCTCGGTCAATTTGCGGAATCCTGGTTCAGTTCCCTCCTTTCCGTCAGCCCGAGGACCACCCACAATGCCAATCTCAATCTCGCCCTTCTTGAAGTCCATGCTCAGAACCGTGCTGAGGGTCGTGATTGCCAGCTCGACAACCTCCTCCCAGTCACCCTCAGCATGCTCCTTGTTTCGGAGCTTCTTCTCCAAGTGATTCAAAGCCTCCTGCTGCTTAGGACCGGCCGCGGTGCCCTTGTATCCAATGAAGTATCCAGCCGGGTCGCACTTGAACAGCTGAGGTCCAAGCTCGGAGTCGAGGGAAATCAGCGTGGTGGCGACACCGTATGGTCTCATGTAAGCCTGTATTCAGATCAGCGTCCGAGTATTTCCCCATCAATCATCTCAGCCGGTAGTTGAAAGGACCCCTTACCCGTTGGGTGTAAACCTGGCTGATGTTGGCCAGGCGCTTGGCCAAGACATCAGCTGGCATCTCGTACCCGAACTTGTATCGGAACTCTGCAGCTTCTGACTGGGCTCTTTGTGCGAAAACTCGGGCATCAGCGATGGAGCCAGTGATGACGCAACCGACCGAGGGGGAGATCTGGAAAATGTGGGAGACGGAAGAAGGGTCGATGAGCTTGTCCTGTTCATTTCCTCGAGTGAGCCTTCTGAGAAACCTTTCATGCTGATGACCGCCCTGGGCAGAGGAACAAACGTACGGGAACCTTCTTCTGTGATAGGACAACGGCACAGTCCTTGCCTCGGATGCCTACAGACATGATGTTGGCTGCTGTGATGGCCTTGAAGGCGTACTCTGGTTCCGCTTATCAGCACAGTCCTCACGAAATCGGCTCAGAGGCTCTCCGATCCTGTCGTTTGAAAGTCGGCAATCAACATACCGACTTGGTACAGGCGGCCATTGTCGGCAAAGATGGTAATGTGACGGTCGTATGCGCTGGCTGCGGTTTCGATACAGTTAGCAAGGACCTTGCGGTGGGATGGCCAAGCAAGCTCGGGGAGGGGTAGGTAAGTCCAAAGCTGTGCATACCCGACATTGTGAACAAAAATCACAGAATCCTGTGCCTGTGTTTCTGTATGGTGAGAGAATCCCAAGGCGACTTGTCGGGGATATGTTTGTAGCTTGACGATTGATATCGTTGGTGCAGTGAGGGAGCTCGAAGCTACCTGATAGGTATTGACGTCTACGCGTGCTGGAGCTGCCTTGACGGGTGAACCACGGGTAATTGTCCCACCAAGTGAAGTGCGTCTGCTGATGAGAGTTGCCTTGCCGTTGTGCTGCTTTACAGAACAACAGGTATCTAAATACTAGAAATTATTTCTTTCAAACTTTGGTTTGGCGAGATTTTTATTTTTTCATGTCGATTACAGATTCCACTCTCTATTCACTTGCCTAAAAACCCCCTCATCAATTGTCTTCTGGTCAGCGGGCTTCTCATCGCTAAACATTTCGTATGAAACACAACCGACTGAGCAATGGGCACAAGTAAGGGCTTGAACCAGTATATATGCATGCTCTATTACAAAATCAGTTCTTGACATTTTCTATTTAGATTCTAGAACCCAAATTCCAGAGAGCAGTACCATCGAGGCCACGAGAGCTCTGCTTAGTCACGAGAGGGGCAACTGCTCATTGGCTGGGCGCAACTCCATCCCACGGTTGCCCGTCAACGCTGGCAGAAAAAAAAACGACAACTCGGACCACATATCCTGTCCCACCAACTTCACACTCAGTACCCGTTAGCCCGCATACTCTTTCTACCCAATCTGGTTAAGCGATAGGTCGATTTCTTCTCTCACCGCCCTCAGTACGTCCAAAAGGGACGGGAAGCCGTACATTTTGCGCCTAGTCTGTGGCACCCGAGCGGCAGAGAAGGGTCCCTGGAAGGCAAGAAAAAAGTTGATGTCCCAGAACGCATCCATCACACGCGCGCAACACACCCACAGAGAGTGAAGATTCTGTTTCCACACCAGAAAGTCAACATGTCGACCGCCGAAACGCAAAAGGTTCCTGCCTGGAAGCGATTGGGCCTCAAGCTCAAGCAGCCCGCAGGCGCTGGGACAGAGAGTCCCAATGGGCTCTCTAGCATTGGAGCCGTTGGGCATCCAAGCAGCAGCCTGGCCCAGCCGAGCCCCAAGAGAAAGTTTGCCCCGCCTGCATCACATCTTAACCCTATCCATGGTAATAAAAGGCCACGAAGGGATGAGTCGCCAAAACCAAAGAAAGTCACATTCGATGATACTCCGACAAAGAAGGTTGTTCCCGGCAATAGCGACATCAGGAAGACGCCCGCCAAAAAAGAGGCCAAGCCTAAAAAGAAGAGCCCCGCGAAGCAGGCCCAGCCGGCGCACGATCTGAAGCCCGCCCTCGAGTACCTGCGATTGTGGAAGACATCCAGAGAGAGCTGGAAGTTTAATAAAAACCACCAATCCTCTCTCATCAAACACATTTTCGACGGTCCAGACTCAATTCCATCTTCCGACGTCGAGACCTTTTACGAGTACATCAAGGACCTGAAGGGTTACGTTAGAACCCGCCTCCAGGAGACCGCCATGGAGGTTAAGACTCGGGACGAATCAGATGGGTATGCATCTTTCCCCGAGGGGACCACAGATGAAGACGAAAAGCAAGCAGCCTACGACTCTATTCTCGCAGGAATTCTACGTCGGCGCAAGGCTGGCAAGCGCAAGTTCTTTAGCGAGCCGCAATATGTCTCGGAGAGCGAGGATGGCGAGGTCATTGTATGCCGTCTAGTTAAGCGCATGCGAGCAGAGCTTGTGCTCGACGCATTATCAGACAGCGAAGAATCAACAACCACAGACACCAGCACTTCCTCCAAGACCGTAACGGGAGGCGACAACAGCAACACTGTTACCACCGACGAAGAAAAGCAAATAACAATCAATGGCGCCACGACACGAAGACGGCGAAAGCTTCGTGTCAACGTGGATGACACCAGCTCCGAGTCTGAGTCTGAGAGTGAGTCTGAAAGCAGCAGCTCGTCAGAGGATTCGGATAGCGACGAAGAAGAACGGCCGGATGAGGATGAGACATCAAGCAGTTCCTCTTCTTCATCTTCAGAAGGCGATTCAGAGTCAGAATCAGAGGAGGAGAGCGATGAGGACTAAGTGTTCAATTATCTTCTAACTTGTCTACTTTTCTGTTTCCAAACACCTTGTGTCGTTATTTAAATCTGGGGATGATGTAATGTTTGTCATACACGAAGAATGTAACGTCTCGCAAGGGAATAGGGCTGGATGTATTGTATCACCCATGAAAGATTACATGGATTATTTTGAATAGATACCCCACGGAATCAACGTCATTTTACTTTGGCTGGCTTTTATTTTCTTGGCCTGAAGTGACTCGTACCTTTTACTAGGATCACAGATTATATCATTCTAAAACACCAATTCTCTTCTACATTAAATTTAAGCATACAATTTCGTGAAGCCCCCTTGGGAGGGCTGGAGCCAATTTCTCTTGTCATACTGGCATCCCTCACCCTCGATAACATGATAAGTGTAGATGATTCTTCCCTTCTGCGACGTACTGCCAGAGCGTTAGATCTTGATCAATTTTTAGGCAGGATGACACTCAAACTCACTTCTTCTCAGACTTGTGAAGCAAATTTCCATGGATAAGCACCACTTTCGTCGATGGTCAGCTTTAGCCATTTTGAAAACCAAAAAGGGGAGGGTATATTCTTACAGTCTCCGGCCTTGACTTCTCCGGCGACATACTGCCCATCCAGGCCCCCCCCTGGCGTCTCCAGCCCGTATCCCTCGCCCCGAGGAAATACAGGGCCCTGATTGTCCACCATTTCCGTCCCGGCATCGCCAGGTTTCCTCACCAGACGCTTGTCGATGGGCGCCCAGCGGTGAGAACCCGGCAGGAAGCTCAGGCAGCCGTTCTCCAGCGTGGCATCTTCAAGCGCGTACCAGAACCCAACCGCCGAGGGGGTGTCCGTGTACAGAAACGTAGAGTCCTGATGAGGGGGGACTGCTCCTCCAACTTGTGAAATTGAAAAGCCAGCATTTAGCTTCGGTACAGTCCCATTCCAAGCAAACTCCACCCGGGGAAACAAAATAGGGGGGTTAGGAATATGACTTACTCTCTGGCTGTTTGCAAATCACCATACTTTGGAGGCATCTCGCTGTTCATCAAGTCAGTTGCCTTTTGCTAAACATCAAGCCAGTGTCCCTGCTCTAAAACTCACGGTCTCGGTATCCCAGCGCCCTCGCCACAGCTGCAGGGGCCACTTCACCTCGGGAGACTGCGCCTTGCTCATCCAGGAGCTTTTTGAACGGTTCGCTCAGTCCGTGCAAGTTGTGACCTATTTCTCATCCGTTAGCCAACCTGGCTTTCCGCTCCTAGAGAAGAGGGTGCATGCCAATCTTATTAACGGCCTTCTCCTTCGGCTTGGTGAGCTTCCCGTCATCGTCAAAGGCATCCTCCTCAAAGAAGAAGCGGATCTTATCTCCAGATGTCAAGAAGTAGTCGTCCCCAACATGCTCCGACTTCGTTCCTGTGCTGAAACGCGTGAGAGGGTGGTCCTCAACCGAGAACGAAGACAGCAGATGCTGCGTCTCCTTCATCATGTCTGAGACCGTCTCGGGCAGTAGGGCGTTCTTGATAATGAGATATCCATCCTTGTTGAACGCAGCGAGCTCCTCCTCGGCCAGCCCGGGGATTGAACGTGTCATCTTGGCAGCGGTGCAACCCAAGCTAAAGTGATGAATGCAAAAGTTCGAGGAAGCAATCCAATCAGGAAGCGGGAGTATGGATGTATTTTTTTACGCAGGGGAAAAGGTCACTCGGGAAAATGGCTGCAGCGTGTGAGTGGGAATGTCTCTTTTCATGCCTCTTATCACTTGGCTGGCGATAATGACGGGTGCGGGGATAGCCGTCGCACAACGCGGGGAAGTCCGAAACGTACGACTTAGATTGACTTAAATGGCAATAAAGTCGGGCGTAAATGCATGGATCGATAGATTAGGCAGGTATACACCCAGTAGCTCTGCTCTCTTCAGGTGGTGATTATCGTTAGGCGTTCAAGCTCACACGCACAGCTCAGTCGAAGACCAAAAGAGGGTGATCTCGACAGATTGAAGCAATCCCCAGCCGAGTACCAGAACGTAAACATCAAACCTGGGGGGTGGGACCTCATAATCTTGAAACATTTCTACCTCAGTACGGCATGTGTGTTCACAAGATCAGGGTGTACTTCCATGTATCAACGTAAGTGGCGCATTACACTATCACAGTCACACATTTACGGTCACTAAGGACTACACACGCCAAAGATGAATTCATGACAGTTTCTTTTCAGAGTTTTCAAACCTGTAATGGAACCCAAGTGATTGCCTAGGTATTCTTCTTCGCTCATATTATGATTACCTTTGGCCGAAATGAAATGATTTACCCGAAACGCCAGACCGTATATATGTCTGTATAACAGAGCCAAGAAGTAGAATGAAGTTAACAGAAAGAGAATACCAAGCCCGTCTCATTCAATAGTTCACGGGGTCGTCAAGGAATGTGTCTATTTTCACAAGCACGGTTAATTTTCCGAACAATCTCAAATTCAGCCAGATCAGAATTCAACTTACAGCCTCCTTCTGGGGGAATCAAATACGCAGAAGCCGAGATTCCAACAGCAGAAAGCAAACAGATGGAGGCACTTGATACCGCCATTGCCCATGACGCATCCAGATGCCACCCAGGAACCGTGAACTGTTCGTCATGATCGTAGAGGTAGGCCTAAAGACAAAGGTCAATAAATGTATAGCACGAGTGAATCGGGTAGCATAGACTCTCCCGGCTTAGGGATAACGCCACATACAACAATAGAGATGACCACAAGCTGGAGGGTGGCCGCCAGGGTCATCATGAATGCCGGGACTGGCCAGCCCGTCTCGCGCTTATACTTGCCACCACGGATGATGACCACAAAGCAAGCCAGGCCAGCCAGACATATCAGGGCCGTAAACGACTCGAGGAACCCAACCGTCCGCCACATGGAACAGAAATATCGGTCCTCATATAGACAGAGATCCTTGTACGGGAAGTCGCGGCAGTGTGGCGAATCCAGAGTCGAACAGCTCTTGTGCAGGCCAATCTGCCGTTCAATCTTCTCGTCGCCAGCATGGACCGAGAAGGTGATCCATCGAGGCACGGCGATTGATGCTAGATTCAACGCGGTCGCTATCACACATTGTCAGTATTCTCGAGCCTTATCATCGGGTCCCCACCCGCTAGAGCGACGTCATCACCAAGAGGCAGACCAGACCAGACCGGAGGGGGTGGCGGATTTGAATTGGGGGAGGGAAAATAGGGGCATTACCGGCGACAAAGGCCACGAGTCCTGAGGCGTACACATACGATCTCGTCATTCTCGCGACTTGGTGAGATGTTGAGGCAGCACTCTGATGGGACGAAGGAGACGTGGTAGGTGGAATGCCAGATTGACCTAAGCCTTAAGGCGTCCAAGCAAGGGCCCGGATGTTTATCGATAGGCGCAGCATCCCTTGTGGTGTGGCACTGCCAGCAAGTTTCCCCACTTGCGCCCAGGCACCAGAATTAACAGGCTCTATCTTATCGTCTTGTATGAAGCTGGTCTCCACCCTCATCCCGTGAATTCAGAGAACACATAGCGTCCAGAAGAACTTAGTCGCGGGAGGCTTCGAGAACCATTTGCGGCTATTTAACGCCACGGGGCCCTTCAAGTGCAAGAGTAGACAGAGCTAAGGATGGGGCCCGGTTGCAATTGATTTGGTGGCCCTGTCGGAGTCGGACTCCGCTTGCCGATAACATGAAATTCAACGCCAAACTACCCCACCATCCATCCCATCACGCCTCAGAGCCCTCCGCTATCGCAAGCTCCCGGCCGACGTATAAGATAATCCATACTGCGCAGTTTTCTTGCTAGCATCTCCGCCGTCGAGCCATGCGAAGGTTCTGCAACTCGCTCATCCGTCCTGTATTCCTCCAATTCGGCCGTAACCTCCCTCTACTAGCCACACGGTGCTCCTTTGCGCGCAAAATGTCCTCCGCCGTGCTCAAGAAGCCACTGAGGCTGGCCTGCATCCAGCTGGCCTCCGGCGCCGACAAGGCTGCCAACCTCAAGCACGCCGCGGACCAGGTCGCCAAGGCTGCCTCGGGCGGCTCCAAGCTCGTCGTGCTCCCCGAGTGCTTCAACTCCCCCTACGGCACCGACTACTTCCCCCAGTACGCCGAGACGCTGCTGCCCTCGCCGCCCTCCGAGGAGCAGGCCCCGTCCTACCACGCGCTGAGCCGCATCGCCTCCGACAACAAGGTCTACCTCGTCGGCGGCTCCATCCCGGAGTTCAACCCGACCACCAAGAAGTACCACAACACCAGCCTCATCTTCGGCCCGGACGGCAAGCTGCTCGCCACCCACCGCAAGGTCCACCTCTTCGACATCGACATCCCGGGAAAGATCTCCTTCCACGAGTCCGACGTCCTCAGCCCCGGCAACCAAATCACCCTCGTCGACCTACCCGAGTACGGCAGCATCGCCGTCGCCATCTGCTACGACGTGCGCTTCCCCGAGCTCGCGACCATCGCCGCCCGGAGGGGCGCCTTCGCCCTCGTCTACCCGGGCGCCTTCAACCTCACCACGGGGCCCCTCCACTGGAAGCTGCTGGCCCAGGCCCGCGCCGTCGACAACCAGATCTACGTCGCCATGTGCAGCCCCGCCCGCGACCTGGCCGCCAGCTACCACGCCTACGGCCACACCCTCGTCGTCGACCCCATGGCGCAGGTGCTCGACGAGGCCGAGGACAAGGAGGCCATCATCCAGGCCGACTTGGTGGACGAGAAGCTCGCCGAGACGCGGAGGAACATTGCCCTCAACACGCAGCGGAGGTTCGATGTGTATCCGGATGTGAGCAAGGGCAAGATACAGTTTGAGGACCCTGACTTAGAAACCCCAAAATAAATAAGAAAAGTTGGCCGTAGAATTAATAGATGCCACTATCAAAGATCATTCCGATACTCATTCCGTGAAGAGCGTTTATAACTCAAGATATTGATGGATGGCCGTTATGTTCAGTTACTGTGTATAAGATTGATAGGGCACTCGGTTATCATAAAACCATGACTTCGTAGTCTCTTTTATTGATCAGAATTATCCTGAATAGCTCCGCTTGCTAATTTTCGCCTAATTCCCTTTTTTTTCCAACGATTGCCACAAACATCTATTCGTTACTCCCTTTTTTTTTCATCTTGAAACGAGATACATAATCTATTGGAGTCTCTTCTTGGCAAAGGTGGGCAGGACGAAGGCAGCCTTGTGGATCTCAGCGCTGTAGTAACGGCACTTCTCCTCCTCCTCCTCAGGAGTCCAGGATCGCACGGGGACCTTGACGTCGCGGGTGGCGTCCTTGGTGCAGATCATGAAGCCGATCTGGCCGGATGGGTAGGTGGGAATGGTGGTGTAGGCGTACTCAGCAACGGGGAATACCTCCTTGCAGTCCTTCTTGAGGCGAGCAATCAGGTCAAGGTGGAGCCATTGGTTCTCAGCTGTATCAACACGCGATATTAGCATAATCGTGCGCCTAAAGTAGGGCCATGGGCGCAGTTAAATAGAGAGGCGAAGGCCAGCCAAGCTTCAACGGTGAACGGTGGTTTTCTGAAGAGGGCGGAAGAGTGAACAACAATGGTTGCCCCCAATCGCTCACATGAATAGGAACAAGCTCGCACGCAATAATCGCAACACGGGACTACCAGAAGCGGAGGCTGTGGGAAAGCAGCACTAGCTTCGGGCAGTCCCTAGGTAGGATGAGAGGGTATCCAAATTGGATACCAGATGAGAAGAAGGAAAACCACCGTGCACTTGCAGGCTCCTCTCACAAACCGCCTATGCCTAGGGACCCCACAACTTTCCGCAATTAAAGAAAAGGGAACCTACAACCTTGGGTAGAAATGACACCGCCCTCGCGCAGGGCATCGTGGAGAAGCTGGAAGTACGACTTCTGGAAGAGACTCTCGGCAGGGCCCTCGGGGTCGGAGGAGTCGGTGATGATGACATCGAAGGAGTTCTTGTAGTCAGCGAGGAACTTGAAGCCGTCGCCAACGTGTGTCTTAGACTTGGGGTGGTCGAAGCCCTTGGACATCTCAGGGAGGTACTGCTTGGAGAGGCGGATGACGGCCTGTATGCGGATACTGCTTAGCAACTGAGTCCGAAGAGATTGCGTAGGAGCTCTGGGTGTATATATGGCATTCAGGGACCAACCTCATCAATGTCGCAGAGAATAGCCTCCTCAACACAGTCGTGCTTGACAATCTCACGGAGGACACCACCGTCACCGCCACCAATGACGAGGACCTTCTTGGGGTTGGGGTGGGAGTTGAGGGCAAGGTGAGCAATCATCTCCTGGTAGGAGAACTCATCGCGCTCGGTGCACTGGATGACATTGTCGAGGACGAGGACGTTGCCATAGTCGGTGGACTTGAAGATAAGCACATCCTGGTACTTGCTCTTCTCGTGATGCAGGACTTTCTCGACCTTGAGGGTCATGGCCTGGCCTGGGCGTAGGAAGTCAGCGGGAGGTCGGAGACGGAGATGGGATTGGAGACTTACCAGGCCACATGTCGCTGATCTCGCGGAACCAGCCATCTGAGGAAACAGAATGTCAGCGAACCAAGGAACGTTGGTATATTGGGTAGTCGCGCGGGTGGT